TACAGAGTATAGAAACATAACACGTTAGTTCTCAGAAATAGCAACACGTAAGAGATACTATATGTATTACAGAGTATTTGATGATATTAACAGTTTTAGTTACAAACTATAAAACTAAGAGTTATTGATACTATTAAATAGTGTATCCATGTTCTATTACTTTCCATCTGTTTCAAAAGAGAATTAGGACATAATTCAGTCATTGATGGTCGCCATTTTTCCTGTTTTCATTTTTATTTTAAAAAGAGCGTAAAATGTCACTAGGCACCACCAGAATAATAAGTAATGACTATCTTATTTTAAAAATCACTGCTTTTATATTAACGTCCATATAACAATTCAGATATATGTTTGGGGAACTAGACGAAACAGCAGAATACATAAAAGTACATTATGAACTGTATTAACTAATATATTTTTCGATACATGGATCAATCCATAGGGCTACAATATGAAAGTTAAATTACCATAACACAAAGCCAGAGGAACGGAGTGAGCGAGTCTAAAAAATATAGCAACAATGTTGCCATATAAAAAATTGTGTTCTGCATGGAACTGTATCAAAGGAACGTAATTAAATATATTAATATTCATAGTATAATACAAATATTAATAATACGCTTTTGTTTAAAGTATCGATATCTATAGTTTTCATAAAAGATCGATAGTTTTATAAAGTATATAATTTTCAGATTAAATGAACTGGTTGCATAGAATAATTACAAACGGTTTTTTGTTATAAGTGACGAGGGCGCACTGATTAAAAATTATGGTACAACCTGCCGTCACTACTACCAACATAATAGAACGACCAATCCAGGAATATAGTAATAGACATTGGCGCCCTCTACAGTAGTCTTACGCCGGCCGCGCCAATAAGTTCGCATATGTACCTAGATCTAGAGCGCGCTCCCGCCATTGCTAACAATTGTGTATTACTTGTTACTCGTATTAAACTTGTTTTGACAATCGGGGTCTTTCAATTCACAACCCATGACTCTGTTTACTATAAAATTAAAATAAAAATGCAAGAATACATTTTGTGTTTTTATTTTATTAGTATTTTGTTAAAATATTATCTTACTTATATTAAATATAATTTATATATTTTTGTGAAAACTCGCTAAAGGGAATGTTAGAGTAAATGTAAATGATTGTTCTCTTGTAGAATTCACAGCATTGCTTTTTAATGTAAATTTGTTAAGCTAACTTGCAAAGTGATTACAGAATTTTCAAATATTTAAGACATAAAGCTTTCTCCCACATTTCGTCAATTTATAATCATTATTATATTCAGTTTTAAGTTGTAATAATGACCACCTCCAGCAGTGGGATATCGTATATTTATGGGATACATTATTACATCGTTATTTTTTTTTATACAACTTAGAATGGCAAACAAGCTGACGGCCCACCTGATGGAGAGTGGTAACCGTCGCCTATAGACATGAGCAGTACCATGGACATAACAGAGTATACTGTTTCGCACATGATAACCCCCATGCGTTGCCATTCCTGAGGACTCAGGTGTTATTCCTCTGTACCCAGTAAATTCACGCCATATCCCTTCACCCTTCAAATCGAAACACAGCCATGCAAACACAACTGCTTCACGGTTGAAATAAGAATGGGACAGAGGTAGCCAAGCAAACGACTTTTGTACAAAGTCTCCCTCTGGAGGGATTATTATATACCTATTCAAGGCATAGGTATATATTTGTTTTATTAAAAGGTGGAATTATAAGATTTTAAAAGAAAACTTTTTAAATGTACACTAACACTTTGTCTAAGGAGAGATTTTTCTTTTATTTGGTAGGAAAAATATAAGCAGGGAGAGAGATTCACTCTCTTGAATAAAAAAAAAAAAAGAAATTGAACGTAATCTATTTTCAAATAAACCTACTATATACCTAATGTTAATAAAATGATATCCGTATATCATGCAATGCTCGGATGTTTATTTCTCAACATTTAATACGTAACCTTAATTACTGGGGACGCTGTTGTAGCTCTCAAAGTCTTTGTGTCCATAATTACAATGTATTAATTAATTGATGTAACACGTGGCTAGAAGTACTTAGGTGTTATGGATTTTCATTAGCAAGCCACTAATTAAAATAAATTTAATGGCCCTGAATATCATTAATTACATAGTATTATCTAGTTGTGTTTTTTAAAGTGTGGGTCGCGACTCTTTGGGGGGTTCTCGAGCCTCTACAAGGGGGTCGTGGAAAGTCGCGAAGCAGTAAAAATCAACAGTTCCGTAAATACATAGATCAATCAATAATACATAATGAAGTATCTATAACAGATATCGATTACTTTTTTTTTTATACGACTTAGAATGGCAAACAAACTGAGAGCCCACCTGATGGAAAGTGGTAACCGTCGCCTATAGACATGAGCAGTACCACGGACATAACAGAGTATACTGTTTCGCCCATGATACCCCCCATGCGTTGCCATTCCTGAGGACTCAGGTGTTATTCCTCTGTACCCTGTAAATTCACGCTATATCCTACCCTTCAAACTGAAACACAGCCATGCAAACACAACTGATTTACGGTTGAAACACGAACGGACTAGAGGTACCCAAGCAAATGACTTTTGTACAAAGTCTCCCTCTGGTTGTCTACATGTCCGTTTTAGACACTTTATTATGTATTATTTATTTTATCGATACCTAAATATGAATATAAATACAACTGTACGGATTTCATAATTATACTATAATAAAATGCATACACATTCGAAACCGTGGAGGGCAGGGGGTCGCAAGATATTTTTACATAATAAGGGGGTCGCAATTTAATGATAAAGATTGGAAAACACTTATCTAGTTCAGAACTAAGTAAAACTTGTACCATAAGTACAAAATGACTGATAAACTTATAATATTATTTCTAATACTTGTTTAATTGTAAACAATCTGGGGGGAAAGGGATTGTTAGTAATGGAGACTGAGAATCCCATTGCTAGCAATATACCCAACCAGGTCAAACACCACGCGGTTCCCCCTGGAAACTATCATGGTTAATTCCTGATGAATTCATCATGATGGGCTAACTGGCCTGTTTTCATTCTCATCTATCACCCTTCACTGGTGCTCCGCCAGCGTATCCCGTTAGCGCAGGCGGGGTTACCATACCATTTTCACCCATAAAAAAAAATTGTAAACAATCTTAGTATATATTTTCTATAGAATTTTATTTATTATTAAATGAAACTAATACAAAAAGAATATATTTGATGTTTTGTTTTTTTATTTTATTAATTTATTCTTTATTGTACACAAAAAATTATAAACATATAATATATATATAAAATAAAGATAAACAGTCGAGCTTAACTCTGTAAGAGTTCTCTTCCAGCAAACCCTGAGTGGAAAGGAGCATTAATTACCAGCCCGCTGGTATTTTTTTTTTAATAATTTATGTTGTCTCGCTTTTTATCTATATTAGTATATGTTGTAATTTGTTTGTTGTAAGTAATGCAAATAAATTATCCATCTATTTATCTATCTATCTATGTTATACATATTTACATAAAATACTCACAAATACAAACAGAATATACTCATTTATTATATATAAAAGGGTTTGTATTGCATGGAGTTTGAAGGAAGACCATCTCATACTATCTCAAACCCATGTGACATACAATAACCATTTGGTGCTTTCAAATAAATATTCCATATGACACAAGTGTTGCAGAATTTTTTACATTTCAGAATATAATTTATATCCAATTTTCTAGCATGGGGTTCATACTATCTCAAACCCATGTGACATACAATATTCAGCTTTCAAATAAATATTCCGTTATAAAATCCAAAAATGAAATCTTATATATAAAATTCTTATATATACGGTGTTTGTTACCAAACTCCTCCGAAACGGCTTTATCGATTTTTATGAACGTGTGCATATTGGGTAGGTCTGAGAATCGGGCAACATCTATTTTTCATACCCCTCAATGATAAGGGTGACCCACCCCTAAATATATTTTTTTTTATTTTTTGATATATTTTTTTTTTAATTTATTATGACTAAGCATTGAAAAATACACACAACTTTAAATTTTCATCGTTTTACGTTCAACCCCTGTATTTTAATCGCAATAAGTGGTAAAACAACGTTTACGGGGTCAGCTAGTAAATATATAATATGCTCACGATTCTATTCCCTAGTGGGTTAGTCAGTTATTATTTTAGTAAATATATGTGTGTGTGCTACAACACTATGTTAAGATTTTCTAACGTGTGTATATAAGCTCAGGAATATATTAAAAAAAAGTTTCATATAAGAAGGTGCAGTGCAAGAGTTTATTTATTTATTGAAATCTCACTTAAAACTTACCTATACTTGTGGACGTGAACATACCCTATGTTCAAACAATTTAATAAATTGTAAAGAAGTTTATACCAGAGGGAGGCTTTGTATGAAAGTCGATTGCTTGGGTACCTCTGTCCCATTCGTGTTTCAACCGTGAAGCAGTTGTGTTTGCATGGCTGTGTTTCGGTTTGAAGGCTGGGATATGGCGTGAATTTACTGGGTACGGAGGAATAACACCTGAGTCTTCAGAAATGGCAACGCATGGGGGGGTATCATGGGCGAAAACAGTACACTCTGTTATGTCCATGGTACTGATATGTCTATAGGCGCAACCTTTATATACGGTTGAGCACACAACCACTTTCAAAATTAATTAAAAATTTATATATATATATATATGGGCCGTCAGCTTTTTTGCCATTCTAATTTTTATAAAAAAAAAAAAAAAAAATTAATAGAGAATTTTATATTTTTTTATACTCATATTATGGGAGAGGCGTGATATGCTTATTGTTTGCCCAGCAGTGGACGGATAATGGCTGGAATGATGATGATGATACCCATATTATTTCTATATTAATATTATCATGAGCATCATGAGCTCTTTTTCGCGGTAAAAATCCAACTTGTTTTTAGAAAATGATTAACACTTAATTACTTTGACAGGTACCGAATAGCATTCAGGGAGACACTGTGCTGCAGCAAAGTACATCGGAAACAAAGCAAGTGCTACCGCGAGCACTCCAGCGTTAGGGAGACGATGGTCAACCACACGTCAGAAGGGGCACATCTGGTCAGGGTGAGGTCACAGAGCCACCGCAACCGGCTCGACCACAAAACCTTTCGCAGATGCAGCTACTACGGTGCAGAGACTATGGCACTTTGTGAGAAGTGGAAGCAAGACTATTGCAGGGACAGTACTAAGCTAAGTTTGATGAGAAGCGAAAGGAATAGCACCAACTCATCGCCTTGTAATAACAATGAAGCTAGTCAAGTGCTGTACAACGAGAATGACTTCGATGACGATTATAAAAATAATCAGTTGTGTACTGACGATGATAGTAATATAAATATTAACATATCTATACATTTGCATAAGTAACTGTATGTGTGAAACATCTATGTCTAGTCATTCGGTATTCAATATACCTTGCCCCCTAGACTATAATCTGTTTCAATAGAACATAATATAACTGTGAGAGACTGGTGCCTGATATAGGTATAAGAATACCTGTATTACAGGTCACCAGGGCCTCACTCCGCAGGGTTACTTACTAAGTACTTGTAATATAATAAATGAATTCAATGTAATAAATATAATTTATAGTGAAAGGTCGATGGACCGCTTTTTAGGTCAAAGGGTCCGAATTTGTCGTCAAAATGTATTAAAAATTAAAAGGCAAATTTGTCTTCAAAATTATGTCCGTCTTCTTATCGGTCTTTTGTCTAAGTCCTTTTGTTTTGTCCCAAGCTGTCAGTTTTAATTGTAGAATGTCTTAGCGGCCAGCGATAAAACCGGTCAAAGATGCCGCAACATATAGGAATAGATAAATAATTATAATTCAATCTGGGAGTTGTGTGTGTGTATTTTCTCAAACACGCTTGGAAATGTGAGCATTATTTCGACAATCTTCATCGAGATAAATCAAAATTGCCGTGCTGGCCAGATACACGCGGGCAGCGGCCGGCAAAAGTTCATGCTTACAAGCAACGTGCATCGGTAGCGTCAGCAAGTTTACTTATTTCATGCCTTAATTAGTTGTGAAAGATTCCCTAACGGCCACCAAGGAGGTCGCGCGTACTTACTGAGCACTTCATTTTAGCAATAGTTTTATATGAATATAGTTAATTATAATACAATGCAAGTTTCCTTTTAATATCATTGTTACTTCGGTTCGGTGTATCCCGAACATGTGACTTTGTTTTTTACAACATAGGGGCCAAAGAGAATGCGGCTCAAAAGAGCATGCGGCTCACCTGATGGTAAGTGACTACCGCCGCCCCTAATCACCCACAACACCAACGGCATCGCAGGTGTGCTGCCGGCCTTTTAAATATGCCCTTTTCTTGAAGGTTATGTTGTCGTATCGGTTCGGAAATACTACTGCTGGAAGTTGATTCCAAAGATTGGTAAACTTGGTTACGTTTTCATTAGGTTCTATTGAAACAGATTATAATAGCGAACGAATCAATCGTAATATTAAATAATACTTCATGTATTTTTTCTATGAATATATCGGTAGATACGTTTTCGCAACTGTATTTATGTATGCATTACATTTGCCCACTGCTTGACGTTTGGCTCCCAGAGAGACTGCCGTCAATTATTAACGGATGAAATGATAATGGGTAAATGCGAACAAAACAGCAACGTGCAGCGCCTTCCTCTTTGACTATATCTTACTATATTTTATCCAAATTTCGTTTTAAAATTTTGGCTATCAAATATTGTTTTTACAAAGAGTTTCCTAGGAAACACAAATGTTATTATTTGTTTATTTATGTGCAAAAGTGTACTTGTAAACAAAAAAGCGCTCGGTTTTTTTTTTTAATAATTAATGGAATGATAACCCCGCCCGCGCTAACAATATACGCTGGCGGGGCACCAGTGAAAGATGATAGGTGAGGATGAAAGCAGGTCCGTTAGCCCATCGTGACGAATTAAACGATAAATTAATCACGATAGTTTCCAGAGGGAACCGCGTGGAGGTCGACCTGATAGGGTGTATTGATCCTCAAACCTTGTCAAACCTCCCCATCATATGGGGGAAAGGGATTGTTAGTAATGGAGACTGAGAATCCCATTGCTAGCAATATACTTAACCAGGTCGACCTCCTCGCTGTTCTCCCTGGAAACTATCATGGGTAATTCTTGATGAATTCATCATGATGGGCTAACTGGCCTGTTTTCATTCTCATCTATCACCCTTCACTGGTGCTCCGCCAGCGTATCCCGTTAGCGCAGGCGGGGTTCCCATACCATTTTCACCCATCAAATAAAACCTCCCCATCACTAACAATCCCTTCCCCCCAAGCGCTCGTTTAAGATAAATGGAAATTAATTTCTATTCATCTCTATTAGTTGAGGTAGGTGGAATAAAATTCCACTTTTAACCCCCAGTCGGAAATATTGGTAGAGACAAGTGGATCTGGACACTTTTTCTCATATGCTTTCTTCTTCTTTTCATTTAAGAGTTTCCTCTTGTCGGTGCAACTAATTCATGCATCTTCCTCCAGCCAGCTCTATCCCAGGCCATATCCTTTATCTCCCTATACGACATGACGCCTAGTGTTTCCTTTATCTGTCCCATGTAGTTAATCCTCGGTCTTTCTCATATGCACAGTAATTAAAATATATCTACCGTTAGATTTTCTTAGATTCGTTTGCCGATAATTCAGGGAAATTGTATTTCTCTAATATGGAATTACTACGCTTTACTTACTAGTTTTTGTAACAAACTCTAAATTTAAGTCTAAACTCGATGTTCTAGTTGTAATGTTGAAGTAAAAGTTTAAAGTCCTATTTACTAAGCAGTGCTTGTTAACTGTTTCTATCTAATAAAAGTAAAAAATATATCTATTACAAATAAATGGGGTCCATTCGTTACGAAAAAGTTATAAATTTCATCAATTTTAATACGGTTTTGTTATTTTGAATATTTTTTCAAATGGTTTAGAGTAATATTCTATGAAATATAGTCTTGAAAATTTTTAATGATTTTTTTTATTTGTATTGTATACGATTACAAAAATAGAGACTAATTCAAAGTAAACATATATTTGAGTTATTGAGTGCTCTTATAATTTTCCATGGTACGGCATGACATGATTGTATCTTCACGATATAATATATGACGAAATCACGACGATAAAATCATTACAACATGCCATGCTACGATTTAATCCTTCTTTGCATAATGGTAGAAATTTCCATCATAACATTGAATGTCCAAAAATTATATAAAAGAACAAGTTCACTTTAAGTTGATCGTGTCTGGATACCTTTTTAATGTCCATTGCAAAAACATAGCTGTTAATTTTTTTACAATTTTTCCTTTGTTTTTAACATAAATTACATCACCTTGTTTTATTTCACCAATAAAAAAAAATCATGCAAAGAAGGGTTAATCAAATATAGTGCAGTTTCAAAGGAATTTTCTCACAAAATATTATTAATGTTTATTAATTATTATCATGATTAATGTTTTCTCAAAATACTATCTATAGCATGGTGTTTCTCAAAAGAATGGAAGAAAGAATGTGATGCTGTTGGTTATACTATAAATTATAAAACTACCCTATAGCTGTCAGCATCTAGAAGGTAATTTTACAATTTATCGTAATAAAGCACAATATCGTGCGATTTTACCGTCACGATGTAATAGGTGAGCAAAATGTATTGAATTAAGATTTTAATTTTTTCACGATAATATTCACAAATTAATAAACGACTTTATACAATTACTTACATTCTTTAAATTAAGATATAATAGAGCCGGGTTGTAAAGCCAGTTATTTTTTAAGTATTTATTCTACTAAATTTAAGTACAATACATCTCTCTTCCATTATATCGCGACGATAAAATACTATTATACTCGTATTATATCGTGACAATAAAATCGTATGATATTATATTGTGCACACCTACATTGTGAGTTATAAAAACGAATATAAGCTCTGGCAATTATTTCTCTTTAAGCGAATTATGTATTATGCCTCTTTATTGTATTATGTTATACCACGGTTCGAAAATTTTAATATTAATAAATGCATTGAATTAAATATAGTCGATATATATATATATATATATATATATATATATATATATATATATATATATATATATATATATATATTTTACGTGTGTCATAAATGGCTCAAATAAAGTGTTTATCTATCTATCTATCTATCTATATAATTATAATCTGTTGAGTAATTTGTAGTGATTGGCATGACCCAAAAGGCCCTATTATCAAAAAAAACAAAAACAGAGTTAATTGGTATAATTAAAGACAAGTGAACGTTGACTGATAATACGATATATTTCAGTACTAATAGTTTTATAATATAAATATAACATGTATAATGAGTAAACATCTCATCGTTTGGGAGAATCCACTTTTAATTTATTTGCACTTTTGAAAATTAAAGTAATGTAGAATAATATACATGTCATATTACATGTAAATAAAATAAGATTTGGTAAATAACGATTTGTGAATATAAAAAAGGGGGTTTGCCCAGTAACAGTCAGACTGATGGTGAAAGTATAATGTAAATATGTGTTCTTTGTAGACGATTCTAAGTAGAATTGAAATTGTACTCATTTCAACTCTCTGTAACAAACATCTGTGACATTCAAACATCAAAACCTGAAAAACAGCACTCTTTCACGCAAAAATTACTAAACGAAGTTAATGAAATTTGGTACACGGGTAGGTTATTCCCTAAATTAGCACCTAGAATACATTATATAGTGAATCACGCGAGCAAAGCCGCAGGATATGTTTAGTTTAGTATTAAATAAAGGGAAATATAAAATGTAATAAAAATAGTTTCTATTGTTAAAATTGAAATAAAAAGTGAACAGTATTGAAAACTGCATATTTTTTGTTGGCTCTTAAAAATTATCTACAAAATAATTCCAATCAATATAGGAATTTTTAATCGTATTTTTGTGACAGTATCTGCATCAATTTTAAATAGATTTCTATGATTATTTTTTAATTAAAAGGGCTTATTCTTGTGTGAGCAGTTAGTCTCATATAAATCGGTTTTTAATGAAATATTTTGTTCTTTATTTTGAAAATCGTCAGTCGATAATATGTTTGCCAGTTTAATATCCTTTATTTTTGCATTTTATTAAGTAATAGAATAAATATGGACAAATATTTAATATCTATATTAAATAATTGTCCATATTTATTCTTATTTATTACTCGGAAATGATTCAAGCAGAACACGCATAATGCAATTTTAGATTATCAAATTTATCTGTTTTATATTTTATTGCGACATTTTATGGGACAATGTAATTATTTAACCGATAACCGGAGGGGTAAATTCTCGAATGATGACTTCATGCAGATAAGGGCGGTGTGGGTCGACCTCCATGAGATGGAGTGATGACCTCACGTACAGTATTGCAGGGTCACATCGATGCAAGGGCGATAGGAAAAATATGAAGTTTCTGTTCAACA